CAACTCACAGCTTCTGAAGCTCAGGCCTGAGGAGCCCTGTCTAGGTCTGCACCCACTGAACACCTCTGGAGCTTGCCTTCCCTTAGGGTCCTCCTGGAAAGCCTTCCATTAATAATAGGCAAATAGGATGGAATTTTAGAACTGGGTTTACCTGGTCTCCAGCTATGTTTGCTTGGTCTCTTCCAGGAATGTGTTTCAGCCTTTAGCAGAATTTTAAACAAGTAGATATGAAGAACTCCGATTTTATGAAGTCTTTACTACCTGCCCACAATTTTTACCTTTCTCAGTTAATAACTTTGTTTTTGTCTCTAGGCCAATAAAATTCATATTTTCGAGGAAGAGGAACACCTATTACTCCATCCAGCAGTCACTGTGTGAAGTCGACAAATAGTCGAGGTGTTTCTGTTTGTGCACTAAGACTTCTCCATCAAAAAGTCCTCAGGGAGAAAACTTTCCGGACCATTTTATCAAAAAGATAATCAAGGCTGGGGGCGGTTGCTCACGCCTGTAATCCCAGCACTTTGGGAGCTGAGGTGGGCGGATCATGAGGTCAAGAGATCAAGGCCATCCTGGCCAACATGGTGAAACCCCGTCTCTGCTAAAAACACAAAATTAGCTGGACCTGCTGGCATGCACCTGTAGTCCCAGCTACTCAGGAGGCTGAGGCAGGAGAATCGCTTGAGCCCGAGAGGTGGAGATTGCAGTGAGCCAAGATCGCGCCACTGCACTCCAGCCTGGTGAGAGTGAGACTCCGTCTCTCTCTCTATATATATTCAAAACACAGCAAGATTCAGGTTTCATGAGCAGGGTAAAAGGGTGGCCAAGGCTGGTGTTTAGCTCATGCCCCTCTGTGCCACAGTTAGTGGTCTTCCTTGGTGGAAGGGTCAATGTTGTGAGGAGGGACTGCCTCCAACCTCAGCTGGGCCGTCTCTTCCCAGCACCACCATGGGGTCATGTTTCCATCCGTGGGCTTATTACCATATTAAATAGATGTAGAGGGTTCAATGAGTGTGTGCAAATCCTGGCTGCACTGTGAACCAGGCGTGAGACCTTGGATGGGTTGCCTAAACTTTCTAAGGAACTTAAGCAGTAGGAACTCAAAAATGACAGGCATTGCTATCATTTTGGCAAGCTACAGATTCATTCAGCCATTTAGAAAAAAATTAAGTTGAAGCCTTCAATTGCCAGAAAATAGCTCACAAAAAGATGCTTGTTCGTTACAGTCTGTCATCGTAATAAACCTTTTCTAAGTTTTCCCAAGAACAGTCGGTTCTATTGCTATACCCAGCTCACAGCTCTAAGAGGCTTAGAAAAGTCAGATGATTTATCCAAAGTCATACACCTAGTTGGTGGCACAGCCAAGAATCGAACGCAGGCAGCAAGACTCCTGCATGAATGCTTTGCCCACCTGCCTATACTGTGCAGAGCAGGAACAGCACCTCATTACAGCAGACACTGAATCACTTTGTTAGTTTTACAGATACGAAGCAGTTGGCACTAGAGGACTCCCTGTGTTGGTGACATGTGTCTTCCTAACCAAACCCTGCCTGAAACCTGGTTTCATGTCTTCCTCCAAAGGAATACATAATTGTAAGTGTCAATAAACTGCACACCTTTCTTAAGACAAATCCATTGTTGTATTTTTCAAGTCAATCTAAAAAAGAAAACGGAAGGAGGGCAGATGCAGTTCTTCAGTCACTGCTGCGTTTAACCTGCCCCCTTCAGCCCATCCTGTGACCTTTTTTTTTTTTTTTTAAATACAAAAGACAACTGCTGTCTTATGCTTCTGTGGTTATTGGGCTGGAGGAATTGCACAGAAGGTGAGGGGCTGAGAAGGAGAGGCCCTCACTGCTGTCCTCTGTTTGAATGGCAGGCTTAGCGAAGTGCAAATCCAATGCCTCCCAGAGTACCTGTCCTTAGGAAATACTAACTTGCTTTCAGGTCATGGCCCCTAGAAATCAGTGCCTGCTGTCCAGATAACCGAAGGGTCAGGAAATACCTGCATATGAGCTCCCCAGGCTTCCTGTGAGACATCAACATACGATTGTATGAAACGCCACAGACAGGACGTGGGAACTGCATCGTCTGTCTGGAACCTCTACACTGGGCAAACTTAGCTAACAAGAATGGTAAATTAGGTATAGATGATGACGAAATCAATTGTTCTGACTGAATTTTTCAGGTTGGTTTGACTTTGTATTTTGGTAAATAGCTTGGTGTGTACTTTTTTTTTAGTATAAAAATGAAAACAACTTTCTAAAGCCTATTAGACCTATTAATTAATTAATAGTAAATGATGACTTTGTACCAGGCAGTATGTGCGATACGTTGTGTGTGCCATCTCATTCAATCATTCCAACTACTCCATGGCATAGATGTTACTTCTAGTTTTGGACTGGAAAGCTCTGGGTCAGGTCACACTGAAGCTGAAGGTTATGCAATTGGTAAATAACAGAGGTGGGATCTGAACCTGAGTTCAGTGCCTCTTGCCAAAGAGTCGCTTTGTTTTCTGAAATCCTGAGGGCTGGGGTTTCTGAGCCCAAACCCATAACTTCTTCTGTTTACTTGCTCTTTGAAATGCCAGCGGGTTGCATCATTGGTTGGAGTTTTTCTTTTAGATCCAGTGATCCCTAGAAAGATAAGAATTTGAAATGTACTCAAGTGTCCCAAGAGACCCAACCACTCTGCTCATGCTACACGCAGCCTACGACTTTTAATCGCATGTGCGCTGGATTCAGGACCCATTTTCAGAGCTTCATCTGAAAGACCTTCTATGGGAAACAGATGGGTCGGATGAGTAAGGGCTGAGTCAGCCTCACAGGGCCTGAATCTCTGGTTCCAAGGAGTCTAAAACCCACTAAGCCATCCCCTCCGGTGAAGAGATTAGACGCCAGATGGGAACACAACTTGCCCTTTTCTGGTCCAGAGGCCGAAGTGTTCCTTATTAGAACACTGCTGTACTTAATGGAGGCCTAGAAATCAAATCCTTCCAATATACTGTTTAATATGGCTAAGCACAAGCAAGGGGCAAGCTTGTCCAACTCTTTTCCAAAGGTCAAGTTTTTCTCATGTATAATTCAGTTTTTATCATAGTCTTCAGTTTTTGTCCAAGTTGGTATTGTGGTGTCTAGCATTTCTCAAGCCTGTATTTTAAGACACGTATCAGAAGAATCTCACTGATATTTACAGTTTAGAAATGACTTTCCACTAAGTTGTAACTATCTAGAAAGTAAATCAAATTGAAGCTTTAAAAGAATATTGCATACAAATCTTTGTGATCAGCTGCTTCCCATCTATTTTTGTATAAAAGACATGTGACAGCAAATGAATTATTTCCATGATTAGAACTTCAATACTATGTTGTATTTCCAAATATGGTCATGTTCTGAAGTAGTAATTAAATAATAAGTCTAAAGGAGATTGAATCACATCTGTCTTTTAAAATCTACTCTGTTTTCCCACAATGAATTTTTAATAAGTGAATCAATAGTTGCAGCAGTGCTATATATTTGCATGTCTGTTTCTGATAGCGGATGGTTGTTCCAGGGTTAATCTAGCAAATACGGCAGCTACTTAGCAGCAGAGCATTACAGTAACTACTGAGCACTTTCCATGTAGTTAATCTAAACTGAGGTGCGGTGTGAGTGTAAAACATGCTAGATTTTGAATGTAAAATATGTCAATATTTTTAAATGCATTGCCTGCTAAAATGATAATATTTTGGATATATTAGGTTAAATAAAATGTATCGTTTAACTTCTATTTTTTTCCTTTTGAAAAATGTGGCTGCTGGAAATTTTAAAATTACACATATAATGGGCATTTTTGCTTTTGTTCTATTTCTATTAAGTAATGCTAATCTAGAGTCTCTACGTAAATAAAATAAATAGACCTTTCTGGTTTTTCAGCTGGCTTAAAAATCAGAGTACTTCTTTTAACCCAGTTGACTCTCTAGTTCAGCACAACCATCACTTGCTACATTGTACCTGGTGATAAAAGCAGTTAATCTATCTCTCGAATATGCTCTTTTACAAAGAGGCAGTGACTTTCTTTGGAAAAGTTTGGCTTAATAAACTTTAATTGATGATAATATTAATAAACAAAAGAAGGATCAGTTCACAATTACAGTTCATAAATAATAAGTAGTAGAAGACTCCGAGAGTGTATTTATACATAAATTCATCTGTACCATAATATATACTGGATGTAACTTAATACTACACTGCAATAATATAAAACTACATGATTATATATCTGTCTTGGTGCTTGCCTTCTTAGCTACTGGTAAATTGGCAGAGGTTTAAAATATAAAATTAACTTCTTAACAGCTAGGCATAATTAGTTTTGAAATTCTTTTATCAAGTCATTAAAACATGAACACACAATGACTCACAAAAATAATTCAATCTTGTTTGTTTATATGCTGGTAGGTATCCCTTTTATTCATCAGTTTTCCAGCTTGGCCTCCACCAGCAGGTGTCCCTTGAACCAAAGAGAAGCTGGTACTTTAATGCCAACGACTCCCTCTGACGGGATTATCCAAGTGTTCCTCTGCCCATCCGGATCCCTGGAGGGCCAACTTAGTGTGTTCGCCTGGCCTTGTCCTTCACATAGCATGCTGCTTTCGTTCTAACGCTAATTGTTTGTTTTCATGCTTCTACAGACCGACAAGTAATCTTGCCGGTGACTTTTGTTTGAGTTTTGCCATCATCACGTATCTCTACCCCCACACAACGATCTTCCTTAACTTCTTCATTAAAGACAAACGTGCAAGGGGTGTTGTGTCCTCCCAGACAGCACGAAATCCAACCAGAAGAAGAAGAGGGGAAAGGTAGACCAGGTTTGTAAACATGATTAGTTAAATAATCAGTATCAAGTGTAAAACATCCAGCGGTGGTCTCTTAAAGAGTGGTTTAATGAAATGACATGCTTTAATGATGAAAACAACCATAAATGCTCTATTAAACAGTAGCTATTTTCATTACAGACTAGAAACATGATGGCAATGAATTCGGTTTATTTACACACTTAGATTTTTTTTGGCTCATTAGAAAAGTCATGTTTGAAGTAGCAGGAATATCGTACATGTGGTTTATATGCCAAAGTGGTTGCCTGAGAGGATGCAGTGTTTGTAAGGTCAGCACGATTTAGTTGACCACGTTGTATTTCTTTCTGTTTCCACTGAAAAGAGGCAGCCACAGTTACGTGACTTCTGTAGATACGGAATCAATGATGACGGTGTTCTAAGAAGGCCATTGGCCTGGAAGTGTTCCACTGGCCTGTAGCCCCAGCAGTTTCACTGAAATCCTGCAGCTCAAGGAAAGGCATCTGGATTCATTTTGGGAAGGAAAAAGCAACAACTTTTACTGAGTGATCTCGGCAAGGGTTTGTCCTCCTCTGGCCCCCGTCAGGTCGGACATGTAAGGCTTGGAGCTCTGGGCTTTAACTCGCTCACCTGGCTGGGGATTCCCCCTTTCTCTCCCTCCCCTATTTGCCTCGTCCAGCTTGCAGGACCCTTTGTACCTCCCCGGGGAGGAGCTGCCCATGGAGCTGGACTGGGCAGGAAGAGAAAGTACCTGCATCTTTGCAGGGCCCACAGCACAGGCTCTGCCACTCCCTGACCTAGTGTCAGAGTCCCTGGGCCAGGGGCCCCCTGGGCCGTGCCAGCAATGCCTGGACTTTCCAGGGAACTTCTTTCACCGGCTGGCAGGAGTGCTCCAGACACAACTGGACGTTCCAGCTGAGAGTATCCGGGTTGGCACGGTTCATTTAGGGAGGGAGAGGCTTAGGAGACATGCTATGATATTCAGCTCTGACACACTTCTTTGTCCCTTTTCAAACTCTTTGCCGCACGTATTTGGAGTCCCAGCCAGCACATTACGTTCCCACTTTCTTCCCCAAGCCATCCCTCTCCTGTGCCTCCACTTTCAGACACGACACCATCGCTTTTCATTCTCACCCCAGGATTAGCTCTGACCCCTTCCTTCCTTGTTTTACCTCCCCATCTTCACATCTAATCAGTTGCTGCAGCTTGCAGATTTTCTTATTTTATTTTATTTTTTTCTGTTTTCTCAGGCCACCACTCACCTGGAACCAGGCCCTCCTTGTGCCAGTCTTGGAATTTTGTTGCTACGTAGCTACCATATTGGGCAAATTAGCACCAGATCAACCATCTGCTCTCTAAAATAGACACACACATTGTATCACTGTTACCGTTATTAATCCATTTTCCTAAAATTCACTGTGGGAAAGACAAGCAGAGTGAATTGAAGGACATTGATAGGATTACATCTATTTTAAATATATCCTTTAATTAGTACTTCAGACCGTGGCCTCCCCTCATCTCCCTACCTTTCTGTAGGTGTTTCCTTTGTCAGACTGGCCTCCCTGCACGCCATCGACTACATCACACCACGATGCGTGAGCACTGATTTCCCACTGGATAGACTCCAGCCCGACATCCAGGATTCTCCAGTGCAGGGGTTCAGTCCTGGCTCTTCCGTCTCCCCTGGTGAAGGCAGCACCCCAAACACTCATTCCGCAGTTCCTCCTACACCATGCCCCCTGGTGAAATGCCTGCTCCCTGATTTCTCCCCACAGCTCCCTCGTGAGCCGCTGAAGTCTGGCGTTCCCGTGACGCTGCTTGGTTGATGTCAGCTGTCCATGATCTCTTCTTACTCTCACCTCACGGCTCGCAGCGATTAAACCCCTCCTTGGCTACCTCCTACGTTTCTGTCTTGAGAAATCTCAGTATTTCATACACATATTGTTCATTCACTTTTCACTTATGTGCATGTTTCTTCCTGACAAGATTACACATTCTAGAAGAATTCCTTGAGGCTCACAGATTCAGGGCTTTTTGTTTCAAACAGTCAAGGCTCTCCCCCTCTGAGTGTTTACTTGGCGTCCCTCTCATGTTCTTGCTTGTGATACTTAATTTGTTTTGTTTCTTGTTTGGACACCAATGATAGTTTGTTTAATAAATAGATTATTTGTGTATTATTCCAGTAAAGTAGTAAAATTTCTTCTAGTGTTTTGTTTTCTGTGTAAAAGGTTTTTATTTAAATTTATTTTTCATTCGCTATTTGTTTTGACTCCATTATTCCGACTGCTTCCAAAACAGAGTGCATCCCATTCATGGTAAGGGTGTGAGGTTCCTGAGCATCTTGAAGCAATTCTGTTTGTAATCCTGAGAGTAGTGACTGGGAAAGGTGGATTGTTCTATGGACACAGAGAGGAGGAGAAGATGGAAAAGGAGGGACCCTAGGAGGACCGGCACCTGGGGTGGAGAAGAAGGGCCAGTTTTGAAGAGCAAGGCAGCCCTCGGGGACAGACAGGCCACATGTGGGTTTGACTGTTCAATGAGAAGTGTGTGCCTCCCCTCCATCTGCACATCAGGAATCTTTAGTAGAGCTCACACTGGTTCCTGACGGTCTCATAAGAATGGGCTCTCTGGGGGAACTCAAAGGGATGTTGACTTCCGCATCTGGGTCAACAAAGTGCAGAGGCGAGGGAGGCTTGTCCTGGCCCCCCGGGCTCATCTAAGTAAGGCCTCTCAGTGTCGACAGCCACCAGAGAGCTCTCTCGTCTTCAGATGAGTGACGCAAAATCAACTCACATTTATAGGGCTCCTCACAACTGACAGAGGAACGTCATCCTAACGGAAACTCTGTGTGGCAAGTGGGGAGGACTTTGTTAATTCCACATTACAGACTTAAACACGGAGCTTCAGAAAAGTTGTGTCATACGCCAGTGAGCAAAGAATTCAAAGCCATGGTCTGCTCTTTTAAAACAAACAAACAACAAACAAACAAACAAAAAACTAGGACCTTCTAGTAGCGTCCACTCTTTCGCCTTCTCCCCGTGCTAGCTGGGGTGTGCCTGCAGACTCGTGTCTCTGGAATTCATAGCATTACTCTGTTTGTTGTCAGTTTGCTTTCAGAAGAACAATCACCCTGCTTTTCTCTTGTATGTGAACCTTTAACTTAATGCTTAAAATGTTTGGTAATCTTGTCAACTTCTAGGTTTTAGGATACGTGTCATCAAAATCTGAATGGCACGTCCAGAATTATCCACACATGATAGTTCACATTCTCCCTCTCGTTAAGTCCTGTTCTATAGTCTCTCATTACTTTGTCATTTTCATCATTATTTTTATCTTTCTCCTCAAATACACGTTTTATAAACAATTGTGATTTATTTTTATTATTTGCTTTTTGAATTCAGTTCCGCTGTACTGGTTTATGGCTTGTTACTTTTCTTCTGTGACTTGCCTTGACGTTATTTGTCCTGTGCTCTCATGCTCACAAGTCCTTCTTGATCACGAGTCTATGATTCCCAGCATCTGTTTCTAGCTCCACCTTGAAATGCATTATTCGATGAAGATTTTTTTTTAAAATTTTTTCTTCACATGATTTAATTCTTTGGCTAATCACTGTGATTGATTTTTGGTTGAAAATTTCCAGTTGTCTTTTTAAATGGAAGTTATTATTTCTCTCTTAATTTTTCCTCTAGTATGTGAGAGAGGCTCAGGAAATGGATTCTTAGTTATTTTATACTCTCTCATTCAGTGAAATTAATGTGTTTTGAAATTAATGCCATTAAGAATCAATTATTATTTGTAGTAGGGAAAATGTGTAAGAACCCAAATGCCCGACTACTAAGGGAGCTGTTAAATGAATTACTCAAGTCCTTTCAATCAGAGCATGATTTATAAATATAAAAAATTGGAAAGAGTTTAAAATATAATTGTAAAATTAAATGCAATATAGTCATAAAATCATGTTTTTGAAGAATAGGTTTAATAAAAGTGCACATTGAGTGAAAAGATTTCAGGACACAAAAATTTACATGCAATTTGATTCCAAGTTCCTTCTATTCTTAATAAATGTGATTAACTTTGTATGAAACAAACTACTTCTCCTTTTAGATGTATACTTATTTTGCCTAAAATGAGAATTGCAGTTTCATTGTATTCTTCTTCTTTTAGTTTTTAGTATAACAACATAAATGGTACCTATTTTATTGCATTTATTCCAACACAGAGAAGTATATGGAGAAGAGATGCTGTCGGTGCTGTCCTGGAGTACATGCTCTAAGCACACAGACAGCAGGTTAGGCATGGAGGGAGAGGAGGGTAATGTGTGTGATTGATTCACTCATGTTAAAAGGGCCCTGGCTCCCCTGGACTCATCTCCCAGTTAACATTTCACTGATGAGCAGGTGTGCGATCCCAGTAGAAAGAGGGAAGGCATTTAGTTAAAATGAGGTGTTCTAATAAGAACTTAATTCCATGGACCCTTTGATTATGAAGTGTTTCAGAGAAGGGTGTGGAAGGCTTAAGTAGAGATTCGAAAGACTTCTTGCACTTAGATAGTTTCTACCAAAGAGAATTTTGAACAATGAAGCCAATGAAACAGAAACAGATGGCTAAAATTTTCTTTGAAATGTAGACAGATTGAGGAGGAAGAAGTTTGGCAAAAATACATTTGGGATATGGCCAAACTGAAAACATTTGAGAAATGGTATGAAACACTGGAAAAGCATGAAGGTGCCCGAAACACTTGCACTAAGTGTAATGTGATGGGGACACACGAAGAAATGGAGCTTGCACAGACAAGGCCACGTGTTCTGGTCAACCATGGCCACCACAGCTTCATTCTGAGGGAGGACAGACACTGACAGTTTGTGGCTCCACCTCAGCGACTGGAACCACCTGCGTGAAACACCCTATGAGACTGTAACTACCTGTAAGACTGATGCTACCTGTGTGTCTGAAACACTCTGTGAGACTGTAACTACCTGTGTGACTGAACTCTGTGAGACAGCAACTACCTGTGTGGATGAGACACCCTGCGAAACTGTAACTACCCATGCAGCTGAAATACCCTGTGAGGCTGTAACTACCTGTGTAGTGGAAACATCCTGTGAGACTGTAGCTACCCATATGGCTGAAGTGCCCTGTGAGACTGTAGCTACTTGTGCGGCTGAAATGCCCTGTGAGACTGTAGCTACCTGTGTGGCTGAAATGCCCAGTGAGACTGTAGCTACCTGTGTGGCTGAAATGCCCTGTGAGAGTGGCTGAAATGCCCTGTGAGACTGCAGCTCTACCTGTGTGGCTGAAATGCCCTGTGAGACTGTAGCTACCTGTGTGGTGGAAACATCCTGTGAGATTGTAGCTACCTGTGTGGCTGAAATGCCCTGTGAGACTATAGCTACCTGTGTGGCTGAAATGCCCTGTGAGACTGTAGCTACCTGTGTGGTGGAAACATCCTGTGAGACTGTAGCTACCTGTGTGGCTGAAATGCCCTGTGAGACCGTAGCTCTACCTGTGTGGCTGAAATGCCCTGTGAGACTGTAGCTACCTGTGTGGCTGAAATGCCCTGTGAGACTGTAGCTACCTGTGTGGCTGAAATGCCCTGTGAGACTGTAGCTCTACCTGTGTGGCTGAAATGCCCTGTGAGACTGTAGCTACCTGTGTGGTGGAAACATCCTGTGAGACTGTAGCTACCTGTGTGGCTGAAATGCCCTGTGAGACTATAGCTACCTGTGTGGCTGAAATGCCCTGTGAGAATGTAGCTACCTGTGTGGCTGAAATGCCCTGTGAGACTGTAGCTACCTGTGTGGCTGAAATGCCCTGTGAGAATGTAGCTCTACCTGTGTGGCTGAAATGCCCTGTGCGACTGTAGCTACCTGTGTGGTGGAAACATCCTGTGAGACTGTAGCTACCCATGTGGCTGAAATGCCCTGTGAGACTGTAGCTACCCATGTGACTGAAATGCCCTGTGTGACTGTAGCTACCCGTGTGGCTGAAATGCCCTGTGAGATTGTAACTACCTGTGTGACTGAAATGCCCTGTGTGACTGTAACTCCCTGTGTGGCTGAAACACCCTGTGTGACTGTAACTATCTCTGTGGCTGAAGCGTGCTGTGCAAATGAAACGTCCTGTGTGACTGAAATGGCCTCTGAAATTGTAATTTCCTGTGTGACTAAAACTATCTGTGCAACTGAAATGGCCTGTATGGTTGTAACTCCCTGTGCCACCATAACTTGCTAGGTCTCCTTTTGCTTGTCTCTAACTTGAAAGCCTTGGAGTAAATGATCTGACATTCTTTAATGGAGGAGTCACCCCACTACCATGTCTCTTTCCCTCTCTGTGTGAGTGTGAAGCATTTAATCTGCTTTTTGTGGAGACCATTCCTGAAAGAAATATTTGCCTGAGAGTTACAAAATCTTTGGTCT